AATTTTATAAATACACCTCCATTGATAAGAACCCCTAAGAGCATCTCCATTCATTGAAACTTCATAGGATTTCTCAAACAAACAAAAAAATTTGATGTATGGAGATGGTGTTTCTCAAGGTGGTGAGATGTTTTCTGGACAACATACTTGATTCTGTTCTTGTAGGGAGATCTGGTGGTTTTCGAAGGCGTCAAAATCGATTTTGTCGTCGGTGGTTCATCGTTGTCGGCGCTGCAACCAGATGATGGACACGTGTTGCTCTAGTGCTTGGGGATGATTGGTTGGGCTGTAGAAAACACTTACATTCTTAATATTTTTCTACTGCCTTAAAAACAACCAATCAAGTTTTACATTATTTTTTAAAGTTACAGTAAAAAAAAAATTGGTTGTAAAAACCATATTTCTTACATCCTTGTTTTTGAAGCTGTAGGAAAATAGAAGGGCTGTATAATTTTTTTTCCTTTTTTTTTTGTACACACGTATATTCTATTTACCTTATATAGTTCATACACATATATTATAAATACAATTATATTATATTATATATAATGCCTACTGTTTACTTTATTTGAATTATTTTACATCTACATTAATTTTTTTATATATACATAATGATGTACTATAATTATATATGTATGCTACATTAATTTTATCATCCATATACAAATTTATATTACATATGTACTACTATTCATATAAAATAATATTGTATATATAATTTTTATATTGTTAAAATTTTCATATATTATTTTATAAATATCATTAGTTTTATTTTGAAAAAGATGTATGATAAATATTTATTCTACAACATAATTTTACTTTACCAATCGCACCTTAGTTTTAAATTAATTACCAATCGCAACATAATTTTACTTTAATTACTTTACCAATCGCACCTTACAACCCAACCAATCACCCATATTACCTCTTGGACTTCAAATTGGGTTGTATTTGGGCATTCGATTTCATAATGTAATGCGTATTGGGCTTGTTTTAATGAAATATATTTGGAGGAAAAAGAAAAAAAAAAGATAATAAGCCAAAGAAGAGAGCGACATAACGAAGAGAGAAAAATGTGGGGACGTGTGCACAGAATATTCACACTATTTAAATGTTTCTTTCGAATCCGCCACTCCATCTCCAGACTGCAGTTCAGCTTATCACACCATCTGACGATAACCTCATCAACATCTCTCATAAGCGACACTGCATATCAACATCTGATAAGTCGGTTAAAATGAAGAAAGAAAGACCTTTCTCAACGCGTCCAAGAAAACGAGAGGTCAAGTCTCTCTCGCAATCTCCTCCTTTATACATACACACTCTCTCCATTTTCCCAGAAGCAGAGCTCTTCGAAACCCTAGAAATCTTCAAAACCCTAGAAATCCTCGAAACCAGAGCCGTGATTCCGGCTACAATCAGTTTCGTTTCGCTTGTCTAAGCTCATCGTCGAACGTAATCGCGTATTTTGATTCTACCTTTTTGATTTGAGAGATTCGGAGCTCCGGCGAAGAATGGCGTCGTTGAGCCGAGAGATTGTGGTTCTTATACTGCAATTTCTCAAGGAAGAGAATTACATGGAGGCTATGCACAGGTTAGTGTGTGTATGTATATGCGTAAGAAGAGGAAGACCAAGTTCGATTGAAAATCCCAACTACATTTATGGAGGATTCCCAAGTTTGAGAATCTTTTGTCTTTGAATCAGAGAAGAGCGGAAAAAAATGATTTGATTTTTTTTAGTTCTGAAGAAATCGAAAATGTTGATATGAGAGTGAAATACAGGAAACCAACGTTGCTGAGTTCTTGAGAGA